AAGTTTCTTCTTGACATGCTTAAATGCTCCTAAAAACAAACATACAGCTCGGTTGAAGCACCATCTTCAGATCTACCATACCACCTACACGGACCAAAGCTACTCCATGAAAAAGAATGTTTTCTCCGCCTGCTAGGCTAATAGGAGTCCACCTTGACAATATTTTGTCAATGCAATTTGTTACGTAGTGTTAATGGCAATGAATAGGATAAGTATGATTATAAACTCACATTTTACACCTACAAATCAGTGATTGCAAGTAAAATGTAATTCAACACATTGTTCACATTCCAAAATTATAGCACAACTAAAAAGTTCAAAACAGCATTTCTGATAACATTTAAGCACCTGCAGCAGGAAGGGTACAAAACGCAGATCAATGATCCTTATATAATCACATATTTTAAAGCAGATAGCAGCAAGGCAAATTCAATATTATGATTCATCCGGCAGAAACAAGAACTCCTTTCTACTTTCCCCCTTTTTCCCGCTCACAATCACTTCAGTAACAGCAATAACAACAACAACAAAAGAATGACTTTTTTTTTGCCCAATTTCTTTTCCATTTGAAATGCAAAATCCATCGCAAAAAAAAAAAAAGCACAACCCGATTAGCAGCATACATTTGTGCATCCATTAATCAAACTAAAAATCACATCAAGCAGCAATATTCTAACCTCAATCTCAAGCAAAAAAATCAGTTTTTTTTTTAACAATACTAAGTCTGTTCTCACCAGTCCAAGGATTTTGTAGGGCAAACCTGAAAACTTAGAAAAAAAATGCTTTTTGACTTTAAAAATACTGTAGTTGGTCTGATCACTAATTAGGGTTTTAGGGTTTTGGGTTATAAAAAATAAAAACAAATAAATAAATAAACAAAAATAAAAAGTAAACCTTTTTTGCCAGGGAGTTGCTTGCCATCTTTGACGTAAAACTCCCGAATATCAACAACCACTCTTCCTTGCCAGTTCCTCACAGAAACCCTCCGATTCTTCGATATCTAACAAAATTTCCAAAGAAAAAAAAAAGAAGAAATGATTACTCAAGAATGTTCAGTAAAAACAGTTATACAACTATTTAAGAGGAATATTCATGAAATATACCTCGCAGACGACAATGTCGTCGGCAGCGTCATCGGAATCGTCGGCTTTGGAAGATTTCTTGGGACGCTTATTGGGCTCTTCGTCTTCGGAGGCGTAGTCCTCGTCCTTATTCTTTCCCCGCTTCGACATTTCTCTCTTTCGGTGCTTCGGATTGACAAAATACGATGACGTTTTGAAGTGCTCAGGCCGCAGAGGTGAATTTCCTTTCCCTCTAAAATGCTTACTGGAGCAGGTCTTGGTACTCGTACTTATGCAGAGAGCAGGAGAGACGTCTGAGGTATGTGAAATTACATCTTTGCCCTCAAACTAAGTTGTGAAATGAAATGAAATGCTTTGGTACCTAGGGCTGCATACAAATCCAATTTTGCCCTGCCAAGCTGAAGCTCCAGTTAGACAGACGACGTAAAAATCGAACTCAAACTCGATGTGAAATTCAAATTAAGTTGAATTTGAATTTGATTCTATTTGAACTTTAAAAAAATTAGAAAGTAATTATTTTTATTTTAAAAATAAATAAAATAGTAAAATTTTTAATAAATAATAAAATATTAAGAATTTATATATAATTTTATTATTAAAAAAAATTATATATATAAATATATATATATATATATATATATATATATAATTGAGTAGCTTACGAATTAATGAATTGAGTTTTTTTATACTTGAACCAACTTGAATTTAATGTGACTGAGTTCTTTGACCGAGCTGATTCATGAGTGTTCAACTTGAATTTAATGTTGACTGAGCTTTTTGACCAGGCTGATTCATGATTGTTCAACTTGAATTTAATGTTCATGAGTGTTCATGAGTTGGTTGATACGTTTGCATCTCTATTTCATAGACTAGGAGGTATAACCGCAGCGTTGAGTTGATTGAACTCTTTGACCGAGCTGATTCATGAGTGTTCAACTTGAATTTAACGTTGACTGAGCTCTTTGACCAAGCTGATTCATGATTGTTCAACTTGAATTTAATGTTCATGAGTGTTCATGAGTTGGTTGATACGTTTGCATCTCTATTTCATAGACTAGGAGGCATAATCGCAGCGTTGCGCGGTGGAATAGATAGCGCTTATGCCCGTCAACCCTTGGATAAGTAGACATTACATGAATAGCGATATTGTCATTGAATTAGGTTCCTTGTGGTCGCGGTACATGTTCTTTATCACTTGGAATACATAAACCTCATGAATTAGACAATGTTATATTTATGCTCTGGAAGGGATTGGAATTGCTTACAGTCCTAAAGCAAAACTGTAAACGGAACTTTATTGCATGCATAATACACAGTAGGAGGAAAGTTAACTATTTGATCCTGGTATAAAAATTAATAATAGAGTAAAGGAATGACATAGAAGGGAATAGGGCTTCCAAGACCCAGAGTGCAAATTCAAAGTTCACCAGAGAGATAACTAGGGGGATAAAACTGGAAGTGGAAAAAGGTTAAATCTACTTAAGTCATTCTTAAGTACGAACCACAAATCATTTCATTACATCGGACGACCAATTTTACTGATAATTCAGAATCTACAAACATCTAAACTACTTAAAGCCGCGAAGCCTGATGAACAGTTGATTGTGCCGGTTTCGCTGTGGTTTTGCAGCTTATTTTGTCCTTTTTAGTCTTTTCGTGGGCTTCATGTAGCGCCCTTGCTTCTGCTTCCGCTTGTCCTCGTTGCTTTTTTTGTTGCTTTGTTCCCATTCTGCCCTTTCCCTTGGTTCGCCTGTAATTTTGTCCCCAATTTTGTCCTTTTGTTTCTCCTGGATCTTCCGCTGTTGCCTGACTTTACTCACAAATGTTAGCTTTTCTCCCCAATTTCGTCCTTTTCTTTCTCCTCCATTTTCTTTCTTCAAACTATAATTCTCTCTTCTCTTTTATATTTATTATGATATTCATTAATCAATAAATTGATTACCCAAAATATATATATTAACAAACATATTGATTTTGTTAAAAAATATGCCTCGAGTCACCTTATTGTAATTTAAATTTCTGTAACACATAAGCTCATGTACTATTCGTTGACTTTGAATAAGATATTCATTAATCAATAAATAAATTACTTCATGATTAGATAAATATAATGAGCTAACAAGAGTTAGTAAATTTTCACATCAATGATCTAATAGACTCTTTAAAATTACTCTTTAAAATTGTGTTTTTTCTCCATAACACAGAAGCCCATGTACTATTCGTTGATTTTGAGTAACATATTCATTAATCAATAAATAAATGACTGCATGATTACATAAATATCAATGAGCTAACAACCATGATTAATTTTTCATATCAATGAGCAAATAGACTCTTTAAAATTGTGTTCGCTACAAGGAATGCAGATAACAGAAGGTTGGCCGACATTTGCACATAAATATTTCTTGTATGAAGGAAGTGTCGTGTTGTTTACCCTACTCAACGAAAACAATTATTCTATCAACCTCTTTGACAGAGACTTCATCCAGCAATCCTGATCAACAAATGTTCATTACAACTTATTGGACATAACAATTATATTCCCCTAAATTATCCATCATTTATGTAATGAAATAAAAAATTTACCACCAACTATGAAATTCCTCTCATTACACAACTTCACAAAATTTTACCATTACCGCCCACTCTAAATATTTACAATAATAACCACACATATATAAACAAAAAAACAGATAATATAAACAGCATCAAACAATCATAACATACACTTTCTAGCCCAAAATATATATATAAAAAAATTCATTTTCTCAAAAAAAAAAAAAAAAATATATATATATATATATATATATATATATATATATATATATATATATATATATATCAACAAAAACTTCACACACATCCAATAAATATAAATCAACTATACCAATCTATCTTTAACTTCCATTCATTTCACCAACCATTTTCTAAAAATATCCAATAATTTATTTCTATTCAAAAAAAAGTTATAATTAATTCTATACCCTTTATATATAATTTATCTTCCACAATATATCTATTAACAAAAATATTTATTCTCTAAAAACACAACTTTAATTCTATAATACAAACACAGACTTATTTTCGCTACAAAAACATATAAATATATTTTTATATCCTATTTATTACCCATTTTATATATCTCCACTTTTTCCAAAATATATTTTACTCCAACCAATTATTTTTCACAATATAACATAATTTCTCTCTATTTCAAAAATACTCCTTAAATAATATTAGTTAATAACTGAATTATTAACTTAAAGTTCTTCCATTTTTAAATTAAATAACATAACACAAATGCAACTACCATAAAACACTTATCAACAAAAAATCCATAGCTATTTAATAAATACAAATTAATTATACCACTTTCCATTACCTTCCATTAACTATATTCCAAAAATATTACTTCAATAATATTTCAAAAATTAAAAAATTCAAAAATATACAACCAAAAATCAAAATTAAAAAAAAACTTTTCTCTAAAATTATAACCTACATTATCATTAAACAATCAACAATGGACACCCGCGAAACTCGCGGGGCACCAGGCCTAGTAATATTTAAATCATGAACGTGTGATGCCAGGGGTAAATAATTTCTATTCCATTGGTTTCAAAGATTAACAAAGCAAACAAAGTGTGAGATTGCCTCCTTATACTTCTTCCAATCCATTATAGACCAAACTCTCACATCTCTTCAACTCATTTAGTTCCCCTTTTTACCTATTTTGCATCAATTTCATGACTTTGGTCATTACATAGGTCTAGGCATGGGCTTCACACATCAAATCAAGGTTGACATAGCACCAGAACTAAAATTGACATAAAAATGTTACATGGGAGTTCTGAATTCAATGTGTAAAATACTCGCTATTAATCCAAATGCTTTAAGTAAACAGAGAACACACATACATAGCAAGAACTCACTGATCCTAGTTTTTCTTTGAATAAAAGTCTTCAGAAAGAAATCCATGTATTTGCTTTACTCCAAGGCCATCAACCAAAATGCAGAAGTAAGCTTTCGAATGAAACATACAAATAAACAACCTCATACGTTGGCCTTGAAATAAGAGTTACGCACCAGCCAAGAACAGAACTCACATAAGACACTTTCTTTTTCTCTTGGTATTAAAGTACTAAATGAAAGTGTCAAGTATTTTCTTATCAACAATTTAGTTAGCATCGCAAACACGAAATACATAGTATCATGCACATAATACCTACCTCATTAAGATGGGCATGTTTGGCGCTGAATAAAACCTAATTATTTGACACATAACTTTTCTGGCTTGAAAGCAAAAGGAAGTTTCCCCTCCTTAGTCATTATTTACTAATGAGATAAACCAGCCAAGATGGTATGAACAAGTTCGCATCACCACCATCTCTTCCATCCACTTTGCCTGCAAGGAAAATACACAGGAAAAGTGTAAAAAATTCCTTAATCACATCAATTTTGCTAATAAAATACAACTAAAATTGGAAAAATATAAAATAAATAATCTAACAACATTAGTTGAGGAAGTGATTCAAATGTTCAGTTTCAGTGGCAATAGAAAAGTGAAGGAAGGAGGGGTAAGGTCGTGGAATAACCAATGGCAATATATGTTGTTGGCTATGGCCAGCCATTGATGTAATAATTGTTTTTTTACGTAATCTCTAAGCAAAAAAAAACAAATAGGTCGAATCACTCAAAAATAAACCAAAAAAAAAAAAAAGGAAAGTAAGGACGGCAGAGTCGTAAGTTACCTTGTGTGTGATCAGCTGCGGAGGCAGTGCAGCATAATTGTTTCTATAGACTTTTTCACCATTTTGAGTCGAATGTGTACCTTACCGCACTTGTTCTCACTTAAGTAAAATATACTTGAATTATTCGACAAAATAAAGAAAAGACAAAGCAATAGCCAGATCAGAAAGAAAGGAAATAAAAAGATACAAGCAAACATCCAGAAGCAAAAGAAAAGGAAATGGAAAAACAAGAAACAACCCCTAAAAATCACATAATAATTCCCATATGCCTAAGTTTCATGTAGATAGAGCAATGCCCAAATCCAAATACAGGGAGACCTATTGTATGACAATCAATCAACAACATTTGATTAATATTTGTGATATAATTCATTTGTACTTTTCCCTTCTCTTTGTGTTTGTTTTTTTACAAATATTAATTTCCTTTATCTCAATTAATCCCAAATTTTAAAAAAAAAAATAAAAACCTCTAAAAAAAATCAATCAATAACATACAAAATCAAATTCAACGAGAACAATTTTCCAAAGTCCTATGGAGAATTTTTATAGACAAAACGTAACAAAAACTTTTCCACTTTTGCCCACTAAATAAAGTAGAATATACAAAGCAAAATATACAAACCCAAAATGAAAAGCTAAAAAAAAAAAAAAAAGAAAGAAAAATTAAAAGAAAAAGGGAAAAATAAAAATTCTGCACGTGCTTCTCATGTAGTTCTATGAATGAATATCTCTTCAGACTCGTACTGATACTAAAACACTCTTCTCTACTCTCTCTCTCTGGATCTTCCCCAATTTCTCAAAATTTTTTTTCTCAGATCTTCCAAATAATTAATACCCTAATACCCAAAATTCGTTGTGATTTTCCCCCAATCATCACTGGCCGGCCCGAAATTGCCAATCAAATTCAAGTACCTGGGCTGGAATTGTCCGAAATTTCCGAGATTTTTGATCGAAGATTGTTGTTAGCGTTTGATAAAGCAAATTCAAGCTGGAGCAGTTGAAGACTATCGGGCGGGAGCTCGCAATGGGCTCCCAAGGAGGATTCGGGCAATCGAAGGAGTTTCTTGACCTAATTAAATCGATTGGAGAAGCTCGATCCAAGGCAGAAGAGGATAGGATCGTTCTTCATGAAATTGAGACGCTGAAACGGAGAATTACGGAGCCGGACATTCCGAAGAGGAAGATGAAGGAGTATATTATAAGGCTTGTTTATGTTGAGATGCTTGGGCACGATGCTTCTTTTGGGTATATTCATGCGGTGAAGATGACTCATGATGATAATATTCATCTGAAGAGGACTGGGTATTTGGCGGTGACGCTGTTTCTAAATGAGGATCATGATTTGATTATTTTGATTGTGAATACTATACAGAAGGACTTGAAATCGGATAACTATTTGGTGGTTTGTGCGGCTTTGAATGTGGTTTGTAAGTTGATTAATGAGGAGACTATTCCAGCTGTGCTGCCGCAGGTTGTGGAGTTGTTGGGGCATCAGAAAGAAGCTGTCAGGAAGAAGGCTGTTATGGCATTACACCGTTTTTATCAGCGCGCTCCCTCTTCTGTCAATCATCTCATATCTAATTTCAGAAAGGTGCACTGAAGTTTCAAACTTGTATATATTGTTAATGTAGGTAAAAAAATCAGAGTGAAGATCTCTGGTTTGTTGTTGACTGGAGAGTAGTAATCAGTTGAGAGGCTGTTGGCAATTTTAATATAAAACATTTACTATGTTAATGTGCAAAGTGAGTAACTTTTTAAGGATCTGAGTTAGAACTCCTATCATAAGTAAGAAAAAACAATCGACTCATCCATGAGCCCCTGGTGATAAATGTCGTGCTTTCTCAATGTGGATTGATAATAAGGGTATTTAGGTGGGACAAGAGGGATTCAACATTTTGATTTTGGTAATACTTCTGAAGTGGCCCTTTTTGAGAATGTAGATTGTTAGTGTAAAATTTCAAGAAATGTGTTCATATAGTATTTAATTCTGGTAGCGCATTAGTGGCCTTTGTAAGTTCCTGTGTTGTTGTACATTATTGATTGGGTATAGCAGTTTTTGAGTGGAAGAGTTTTTAGAATGTAGGTACTCTTTTTGGCCGGAGTAAATATAATATGGGAGGCATTGGAATGGAAAACAGTGGGGGCAGGAGATCTGAGTGCAACATAGACCTTGTTTTGTTATTAAAGTATGGTAACTTTCTATAACACGCATTGTATGTAAACGCTGTGCCAGTATGTGGTAACTTCTAGAAAGTACTTGGTGTGTTTTTTGATATCAAATACTTCTTTATGGAGAACGACTTACTATTCTTCTAGGATGTTGAATTTTTTTTCTTTTTTTTTTTTTTTTGTGAGGGATGCAACATAGGATGAACTTAGGATTCAGAAAGGTACATCATTTGTTAATAGAGTCAATGAAGTTGGACATCAATATTCTATAGCTCTTTAATGTGTTGGTAGGAATGGCAGCATAACCTCCACATGCAAATTTTGCTAGTTTTGTTTTGTAATTTATACCCATTCTGTGTGCTATGTGTATATATTCTGCTTTATAAGGAGAAAATCTCTTTCCTGTAAGTTAGAATTGTTTACAGTGCAATGAGTTTGAGATGTGAGGGAATCTTATGTCAACATGCCTTGCCTAGTGGTTAACCACTAGGGTATGTGTATGATACATAACTTTGAATGAAACTTTATAATTTTTGATGGTTTGTGTACAGCACTGTGCTTACTTAGTAACTTACGTGAATAAGTAGAAATTTTGCAATGCTATTTTGCTTCAGCTCTTCTGAAAATGCTTAGAAAAGAGTAAGAAGTTTCTATTGAAAGTATGTTTGTGCTTTTCAACTTAAAAGCAAGCTTAAAACAAAGTCAAACTCAAAACTAGAGCACCTTAAACAACTGTTTTTAGGTTGGAGAAGGCTTTAACTTGTATAGTTTAAGCACTTAATAGTTGGGTTTGAGATGGTATAGATTATTTCATGCTTACATTAAAAAATATTTTCGAGTGTTTCTCTTATTCAAGCGAAATGGTTACTATAATTTTTTGGATATATGGAGTTCCAGATCGATATACAATTTCTTAGTATATATGCAATTGTAGGTGAGAAATCAAATTATCATTGTTTATAGAACTAACAAATTTTTCTTCGATTCTATGTTAATTTTGCAGAAGCTATGTGATAATGATCCTGGAGTTATGGGTGCAACTCTTTGCCCTCTCTATGATCTAATAACAATTGATGTTAATGCCTACAAGGATTTAGTGGCCAGTTTTGCGAGTATTCTTAAACAAGTAGCTGAACGTCGACTGCCAAAAAGTTATGATTACCATCAGATGCCAGCTCCTTTTATTCAGGTTGGTTGACATGGCTTGAAGCGAATAAAGATTTTTCTCAATGGTCTCTTCCAAATCTTAGTTACATGCTTGACTGGAGATGATTATTTCTTCCTTAAGCTTTTGGTTGTAGTTTGTTGAATTCTTCTTTAATATTTTCTTAACTGGCTTAATTTGTAACAATACAACCTTACAGTATTCATACTTTAAGGGCTTAATTAGAATATCAGATTAGGTGGGATTACACTGGATTGTTTCATTTTACTTAAAACCTTTGTCTTGATGAGTCTGATCCAATAATCTAGATGGGATAAAGTCATCCTGTGGGGATACATAATCCTTAGCCTAGCCCTGGGTAGGGATAAAAATTATAGTGGCTCGCCTACCCCTCAAATGCCTTTACTAACTGCCAAATTCTCTTGTAACGCATCTTGCATATGGATATCAACCTCTGTTGTTTGTTATTGAACCAAAGACTTGATAAGTGTAAATAGGTCGCGTCCACCTAACGTTAAAGTGCTTCTAATGTTTAGCCTTTAGAATAATCTTGAATAGTTAATGGAGAGAGATTAAAAATTTAGGAAGCAAGAGGGTTACCCTTCTGTTTTCACCAACTTGCAATTAACTGGGTTTTGACCCCCTTATCCTTCATGAGTGGAGGTTCATATATGCTCCTGTTTCATTGAAACAAAGAATTGCTTCTTTCTGTGTCTGTACATCCATCTCTTGGTGGACAAAACACTTTAATGACTACGGGAGCATGCCAGACAATTAGTTTGGTCCTTAAGGGATCAATGAAAGAAACATGTTTAAAACTTCACAAGAAGGCAATCACCATAGCGTGTTCTTTTGTCTCATAGTCATAGTAGACACTTAATCAGCTACATAAAGGAAGACATAAATGAAGAAAGAAATGACAAGAAGAGAACAAATCTTATCTCGAAATCAAAAGAGAGAGGTATGGATGTGGACTGGCAGCACCTACAAGAGGAATGATTTTTCTGCGACTATTGTACACAAGGTACAGAATAGCTCATTCCCACATTGTTTCCCTTGTAACTGTCTGACTTTCTTCCTAGAAAGATTTGGCTTTTGGAGGCTTGTGTCTTGACTTTCTCCTTTGTACATTAAACTCAAATTCTTATTGGCCTCTTTCTTGTGAAATAAAAAAGCGAATTCTTGAGTATTATATGCATGCATCTTATTTAGATATATGTGTGCTTACATCTGTGTATGCATTCACATTATGAATGTTGTTTTGGTATAAGAGGAGGATTGCCTCTTTAGTACATCTAACAATTGGACAGGTGAGC